TAATTATCATCACGCCATTACAAAGGAATTGTATTTATGTTATTTAAATATAATTTTGTTGTTAGTTTTATTTTCGTAAAAAGATAAATAATAAAATATATAATACCATAATCATCAAATTAAAATATATATTTTCTTTTAAGGAAATATATAAATAAATTACAACAAAACTTTTTGTCTATGGTAAGGTAAAAAAACAACGTTAAACAAATCTATTAAATATGGGAGAACTTTTTTAATTAAAAACTATTTATTTAAAAAAAAAATGATAAAACGTATTAATGACAAAAAGTAAACATAATAAACAAATTAAATATAGAAAAAATGTACATGGAAATTTAAAAAGAAAAAATAAAAGTTTTTAAAAACTACGCAGAAGAAAATACATTTAATAGAAAAAATCAAAAAAAGAAAAATATGTAAAAAAAATAAATATCATTTATTTCTTTTGAAAATATGAACTATATAATGTTATTGGAAGCTCATAAATGGTCTGTTCCAGAACTTGTATACATTTTCTATTAACCGAAATTGTTTTCGATTTTTCTTTTAAAAAATTAATCAATCAAAGAGGATACTCTTTGGGTAAGAGAACAAACGAAAATGCCACACTGTTCCAGTTCTAGCAAGTTATTATAGAACCTTTGTATTTATACCTTCATCAAGGTAATAAGAAAATGTGGGATTAGAAACAGTTGACATTTTTTTGAAATTTTTTATTTGTATTGACATTTTTTATTTGTATTGTTTATATATAGGAGGCGTTATATTTTGTATTTTATTTTTTTATATTTGAGAATGACCAGAACAAGAAAGAAAAATGAAACTATATGAGCATCTGGAACAATTAATTTTATTTTCTCAGAGTACCGAATAATGGAAATTGCAATCATAAAAAATAAATAAATAAATCACTATAATTTACCATATGATTTATATTACAAGTAATATAGACATTGGTCCTATTGATCTTAAATAAATTAAATTCTCAAATACTCCGACCAAAAGAATCAACATTTACTCTGAATAACTTGTATTTGAGGAATATAGTCACTGGCCTTTTTTTAACAAATTGTAGGCTTTCCGTTCAAGTTTCATTATGTTTGCCACATTTCTAATTTGCAACTAAATTTTTGTTAGCAAATTATTTTAAAGGCAAATCCTAATTTTTTATAAAAGTATTCATTAAAAAATTTTTAAATTTTTTAAAATTATACGTTTTCCGTTCAAGTTTCATTACGTTTTTTCACATTCTAAAATTTGCAACTAAAATTGAAAGCTTTTTTTGTTAGCAAATTATTGGCAAGGCAAATATTAAGTTTTATAAAATAATAATAGATAATATCTATTTTTTACATATTTTTCTCTTTTTCTTCTCTCTATTAAAAAATAAAAAAATCATATCTTCTGCCAGCGATAAGGGAATAGGCGGTAGTTTTGAATGGGCTGCCTTATAAGTGATTTTGTCGCTTTCCTATTTTTTAACAATATTATTTTGCATTTTCTTTCATTCAAATGATTTAAGGATAGGTATGGGAAGCTTGTGATAATTAAGGGAAATCAAGTTTATGTTTGTTTTTATTTTTTTGTTTTGCTATTATACTTAAATTACTGTTGCTTTATTTATAATTACAAGGGGGGTTTTATTAAAGCATTTTATTCTTTATCGTTTGATTTTTTTTCAATTTCCTTTAGTATAATTTTTTTTATTAAATTTACAGGATGACCCAAAATGTGTGGTATAAAATGAAATATATTCTATAGAACATTTTAGAACAGTTGTTATCTTTACAAAAATTATAAAAAAATCTCAATTAGTTTTTGGTTAGTAATGTCATTTGTATCACATTGCCAGTGATTTAGAAAAAGAAAATCTTAAAAATTAATCGAAAGCATGTGAAGTACAAATTGTACATTTTTTAAAAATGTTCTCAGAATTATAGGTGAAGATAGTATCATGAATAATTTGAGAAAAAATTATATGTAAATAAGGCATCACTAATGACCCTGTTGTGACGGACTTTTAGTACTGAGAGCATCATCAAATTTGCCAATGTTTTTGTAAGAAATGGATCGTGTATTTTAAAGTTTTTTAATTTTAAAAATGGAGAATTGTTCTACTGATAAGACTTATCTTAATGTTAAACAAAAAGGAAATCAGCAGATTGAACGGTATTCTCACAGGACATAACAGCCTGCAGGTTCATTTACACATGATTGGATGCGAGGGAAACAAACTGGCGTAGAGCGCATCGAGAAGAAGACAGCGAAATGTTAGAACATATTCTGTGCTACTGGCCAGTCTTTTCAAGCTTCCGAACTCAATCGACCCAAGGCGGTGTGAATGAAACAAAACTAAAGAACTTCACAAATAAAACAAAATTCCTAGAAGTTTAGGAAAACCAAATCCAAAGATGACTTCTAACTTTCTTGCTTCTCTGGAGCCCATAAAAGGTCACTCACAGGGCAATATTCTGCCTGCAAAAAAAAAAAAGAAAAAAAACTTGTCTTTGGTCGCTTAGAATTGTCTACCCTAATTGGTCGTGTGTGAAGACATCTTCTTCTGGTCGTCTTTAAAGACTCACTTCTGGTCGCCTATAAACACACTTTTTGGAATATAAAAAACTCGGTATTCAGATTGATCATAGAGACTTCCATATGATCGACGACTATAAAAGCTTCATTTTCGTAGCTTTTATTAAAAACCTATTCCGGTTTTTCGTAAAGACTTTTGGTTGCCTTATCTATAAAAACTGGCATCTATGCATAAATTCTTCCTTCTGGTCTTCTTTAAACAATTCCTTCTTCTGGTCTTCATAAATAACTTCCTTTAGGTCTTCAATAAAAAAACTTTTCTTTTTTCTACTCGTCGCCCATTTGGTCGGGTGTGTTCTTGACTTCCAAAAATTACTTTTTCGGTCTCTTCTGATCACCTATGAAAACTTCCTTCTTGCCGTCTATGAAAACTCCCATTCATTCGATTCCCTTCGGATCGTTTATAAAAACTCATTTCTGGGCGTCTATACTCCTTCCTTGACATTCCAAAAATTACTCCTTCTGATCGTCTATTAATAATTCCTTCTTGTCCTCTATTACAACTTCCTTTTTGGTCATATATAAAGAACTTCTTCTGGTCGTCTATCATACAGACTTCGGATCATTTATAAAAACTTAGTTCAGATTATATATAAAGACCTTCTATCTGGTAGTTTATAAAGACTATCTCTTTGTATAAAAATGATATTTTTATCAACAATAAAGACTCCATTCGGTCAACTTTAAAAAATGAAGTCAGGTCGTCTTTTAATAAATATCCTCTGCTCGGTTATAAAGTCTACCCTTTTGTTCGTCTATTAAAAAATACATACCATAAAGACTATTTTCTGGTCGCTTCTGGTTGTCTATTAAAACATTCATGTGGGCGTCGATCATGAATGAAGACTCCCATCAGGTCGTCTATATGGACTTCCTTCTGGTAGTCTATAAAAAATCTCTTCTGCTCGGTTATAAAGTCTACCCTTTTGGTCGTGTATTATATAAGAAATATTTCTTAAAATTTAAAGAGAACCTTGTGGCCACCTATTATTATGGCTCCCAGTTCATCTTCTTTTTGATTCAGGCTACTTATTTGGAAATTTTCCATTTATAATCCGTCAAAAATATCAACTCATTTCATTGTAATAAGACTATTGATAAGGGAGTAACTAAAAATTGTAGTAATTCCGAATTTTTCCATTACAAGTTCGAAATTCACAAGAAAATATGTCATGTCACGTGATTTTGGGCTGTCATTACCTTAATTATAATTTTTGGAAATTTTTAAAAATTATACCTCTGGAAGCTTGTTAAATATGATTAAATCCCAAGCAATCAATAATTGTATATTGTCTGAAAGAGGACTCGATTTCTTTCTACATCAAACATGAAGCTGTGGAGACTATCATTGTACTATTTTTTTTCGCAATACATTTAAAACAAGACCTTTAATACCAAGATGGGTCTTGAGTTTTTTTTTTAAATTTTTGAAAAATTCAGACATTTAAAGCTAAAATGGGTCTTGAGTTTTTTTATAAAATTTCTATAAGACTGAATCTGTTCATTTTTATTACACAATACATTTTGGGTACACCCTGTTAGCTATGAATTAATTAATGTATTATTATTTTTTTTTTTAATTTTTATATAATTATTTTATAATAAAAATATGTTTCTCTTTGTTTTTTTTTTTACTTTTTGTCAATAAAGTATTTATTATTTGTTTATATTTTATTCCTTTAATTTTTTATTTTGATTTGTTGTTGTTCTATTTTAATTTAAGAAAAAATATATATGTATTTTTTTTTTATAGAATTGTTTTAATTTTTATGTTTCTTTTTTATTTAAATGATCTCGTTTATTTGTTTTGTTCGATTTTGTTTTGTATATATATATATATATATATATTAAATTTGTAATTTGTTGTAATTTATTATGTATATATATATATTTTAATATTTATATTTATAATTATTATTAGTATTTTTATTTTTATAATATTATTATATTTATAACTATTGTTCATAAAATGGACTATTCTTTTGTTGTTTAGATAAGGCTTTAGATTTACTTCTCTGTTGATTTTTTTTTGTTTTTCTTTCTTTCTTTTGTATAAGGAAATTTTTTTAAATTTATATATATCATCTTTGTTATATTTGCAGCCTATTTTGTATTTATAAATTTGTTTATAGCTAGTTCCCTGGTGAAAAAATGGGGGCGGGAACTTAGACCACATTTAAGATAAAAGAGAATTTCTTTTGTTTTTAAAATTAAAAAAAAAATGAATAAAATAAACGAAATTTATATATCTATGTATATATGAAATAAACCACAGTTATAGTTGTTTTTATAAGAGATATCGAGAAGGTAGGGGAGAGCAGGAGGATGGATCGATCCTCTTTTTCATTCATTAGAGTAAAATCAAAAATTAAAAACTAAGGGGGCTTGGTTTTGTCATTCCACCACTAAACTACAATCGTTGAGGGGCTTAGGTGCGTCTAAGCATTTCATAGTTTAGTAAAGGATCATTGGCGTATCTAAGGCTTCGTAAATCTCATAAAAATGGATTATTTGAGTTTAGAGCTCCACTAGCCTGTAAAGAAAAAAAAAACAGTAAATTAAACAAAATGAATATTATGGCGTGGTATAGCACTCAAAACCTACCGCAAAAGGATTATTGAAAGCATTTGCCGTTAGCCCAGCTCCCGTTGCGGCAATTTGTTGCTGCTGATGCATTGTACCAAAACCAAAGCCACAACCATTTGGTATTCCCGCCGAATACATGGATGTTGCCACGGGTACACCGCCGGCTGGCGATGTTATTGCTACGGCTGGATTCATACTACTGGCATTATTATTGCTGTTGTTATTGTTAATGTTATTGGTGGTAGCAAAACCATTGGCGGTATAATTGAAAAATCCCGCATTGGCCTGTGATTTTTGTCCCGCATTCATAAAGCCATTTGCCATGCCATTTGGTATTAAAGTCATTTGACCAAACAATTGTGTTGCATTCGGCGGCGGTGCATTGCCATTATTTTGAAATGGATTTGCCACAACAGCTGGGTTGCTGCTGTGAGCGGCAAAGGGATTAACCGTACCATTTGTAGCTGAAAAAAAAACGGTGTAAAATATAAAAAAAAAATATTAATGGGATTAGAATGAGGAAGAAGTTTGCTGTTGTCAATAAATTTGCCATAAATCCCTGCTGTTGGCCCAAAAATAGTCCATACTTTCTGAGACGATTAATGCATGTCCGTCCGTCAGCTGATGTTAAATTGTAAACAAAGTACAGGTCGCATTTATCATACGATTTGGATGAAATTTGGCACAACTCATTTATTTGGCCCAAGGACGAACCCTATTGAAATTGCGAAAAATCGATTTAGATATAGCTCCCATATATAATTTCGTTCGATTTATGGTAAATGGTGCGCTAAAGTCTCTAAATATCTTTCGATTTGCACGAAATTTGGCATAGTGTATTAAATTAAGGAGAAAAGGAGAGGGGAGAAACGTATTTTCAGAAAACAGAAGAAAGAACAGGACAGGAGTCAGAATGAAGTCCGAAAATTCTACCAACGAGTAAAACACCAAACCGAAGGCTTTGGTGCAGGTACATCCTCCTGTAGAGATGAAGAAGGAAACCTGGTGACGTGCTGAGAATATGGAAGGAGCATTTTGAAAAACTTCTGGTCTCAAATAGTAGCGGTGAAGAGGATACCCCAGAACCAATAATAGATGACGGTATAGAGTGTATACCACCAATCCAAGATGAAGTCAGAATAATAATCAATCGGCTGAAGAATGATAAAGCAGCAGGTGCCGATAGGTTACAAGCCGAACTATTCAAGACTGGTGGTCAGATGCTAGTAAGGAACATGCACCGCCTGATTAGTACAAGTTGGCTACAGGAGTGCATGCCCAATGGTTGGAACCTCAGCATCCTGTGTCTCGTGCACAAAAAAAGGAGACAAGACGATATGTGTCAACTATAGATGAATAAGTCTTCTTCCCATCGCATATAAAGTGCTATCCAGCGTACTGTGTGAACGACTGAAGCCAATGGTCAATGACATTATTGGACCATACAAATGTGCCTTCAGACCTAGAAAATCCACCATTGACCAGATTTTATCTCTGCGCCAAATCATGGAAAAAACCCCATGGGAAAACACATCGACACATTCCAACTATTCGTCGACTATAAAGCCGCATTCGACAGCCCCATCCGTTCAGAGGTGTTTAAAGCCATGTCTGCGTTTGACATTCCTGCAAAATTAATTCGGCTATGCAGGATAACTTTAACAGGCACAAGATCAGCAGTTAAAGTCGGAAAGTACCTTTCGGAGCCCTTTAATACCGAACGAGGATTCAGACAAGGTGACAGTTTGTCGTGTGACCTTTTTAACATCCTGCTGAAAAAGGTCAAATGAGAGGCAAAAGTGAACAGAAATGGCACTCTGTACACCAAACAACACATATTACTGGCCTATGCCGATGACATCGACATAATGGGTCGAACATTGAGAGCGGTAACAGCCACCTTTGAACAAATTGAAAAAGAGTCTGCCAAACTGGGTCTGGCAGTAAACGGCGAGAAGACCAAGCTGATGATATCAACGCTCAAGACGTCCAGTAGACTCGGACTGTGGAACTTGAGAACTACAGCTTCGAGGTAGTCAAAGATTTTATATAGCTTGGTACCGCCATAAACAAAACGAATGACATAAGTTTTGAAATTCGGAGAAGGATAACGATGGCCAACAGGTGCTACTATGGTCTGAGCAAATAACTCAAAAGCAAGGCCACCTCCCGCCAGACCAAACTCACACTAGAAGGCGAAATTGTTGCTGGATCGCTATGACATTTTACAGGAAGTTTTATTGTAAAGGACGATACCTAGAAATTTCGGTGATGATCAGATGGTATATAGGGTGGAATGGACTGAAAACTATATTTCTGTATGCTAGTGCTTTTGAGGCCACTATTGTAAGACGAATATTACAAATTTTTTTGGGAAGAGAACTGACTAACTATTTAAAATTACTGTTTTAAAAATAATCGGTAAGTATTTAAATGAACCAAGACTTTTGGGTGTAAAATCACCAAATTAGGATCGTAGGGCGTAAATGTTTACTCTGGGAAACATGATTCGGAAATATGCCAGGGTAAGAAAGAGGGTGCAAATATCGCCAAGGTTTGGAATATAGATATGGAGAAAATTAGGGTTCGGCGGTTGTTGTTGTAACAGCCGTATTGCTTTTACACAATGGGCTGAGGTGATAGTCGTTGGCCGAGTAAGACTTGGGTCGTTTCGGATCGTAGACCCCTCTGTCGTGGACACGGAGTTCGGTGGTAGTTGTGTAGGGTATGATATGGTCGGCAACGACCGACTATATATCTCCTCTCAATGGTTAAATATATATATATATATTTTGATGGGTCTTCCTTTCCCTCATAGTTTCCTTGAAGTCTATTCTCTCTTTTGGTCGTATGAAACTGCTAACTTCTAAACTATTACGGAAGACTAATGTACATTTACAAATACAATATTTTGCTGGTCTTTTAAGGCTCCCTAAGTATTATTTTGTCGTCCCTTCTCCTAAAAATACCTTCAAGTCGCCTCTCTTTCTCCTGTCCATAATAAATACCTTCATCTATAAAAAAAAACACTTTTAGAGAAAATATTAAAAAAAAAACGAATTTTTACTTACGATTTCCAAAACCAGATTCAACAACATTGGCGGTAACGATTGACGCAGCCTGGGCTGCAACAGCTTTACTTTCACGCAATTGTTCATCCAAATCTTTAAGGGCGGCATAACGATCCGCTGCTGGGGCTGCAGGAGATGTGCTTACATTACTGTTATTGTTGTTATTGTTATTAAAGCCATTTGTATTGGAATTTTTATTATTAATGGTAATACCATTCGACATTGGAAGACCTAGAAAAGAAACAAGAGAGAAGAAAATATATACATCGATTAATATTAGATAAATTAATTATTAATAACAATTAGACGATGTAAATGGTTAAGTAATAAATAAGTCAGTCAATGTTTGAAAGATTCACTTAAAAAAATAGTAAAAATCAATGATGCAACCAGAAACTTGTATAGTTTTGAATTTAATAATAACAATAACAAAAAAGGTAATACAAATTTATTAGCTTGGAACATTCTCAAGACATACATAGGGGAGTATTTGATAAATTGTAAATCATAAATCATAACAATCAAACTGCAATCATAATTATGCAATAAAAAGGCTGGCAATACAAAATTGTCTACATATAGCAAAGGCTAAAAAATGTTTTGTGAAAAAAGAGTAGATTTTTGAATATTCGAAAATTTTACTTATTTAAATAAATTTATTGGAAGTTTCCAGCATGTAAGAAATTGAAATTCCAAAATATCTCTAATTCGATATGAAAAATCTTCAAACCACACAGAAAATAAAATGGTGGCGGGCTTTACATGGTACTACTACAAAACATGAACCTATATTCTCAATGTTTTGCAAAGGTGTTGTTCAACCTTCAAGAATTCGCGAAGCCAATATCAGCAGGTAAGATTTGAAAATTGGGATAAAATCGTAAAAAAAGCCGAAAATGTCATTTGCAATACCAAACATCCTGGGAGTAAAAGCAATGTCTGGGTAACATTTCAAAGCTCTAATTTCACAATTCATATACACCCCACCCCCATTTTGGTGGAGGATATAAAAAGGGCCAATTGCAATACAAAAAAAATAATATTATCGCAAAAATCATGCAATCAATTAACAAACTGAATTGAATCGATAAAAAACAGCAGCAACGAAGCAACCAAACAAAACGATAGAAAATAACAACAAATGCAACAGCAGCAACAACAAGCAAGGCAACAAATAAAAATTTGGCGTGTTATTGAACAAATAAGATACACAGTGCTACCAAAAATTAAAGAAAAATAATTAATAAAATAATGAAATATAAAAATAAAAAAATCAAACTTGTAGCAGTCTTGAAAAAATATACTTTAAACCTGTGAGCAGAGCAGTATAGTCGGACACGGTCGATACCCTACACAACTACCACGGAACTCTAACTTTCTGCGGATGGTTATTCCGAGCACCCTCTTGCCCGATCAGAGGTTAACAGGACCTCTTCCTTACAATGTCATATTTTCCGAATATTACTAATATACAGTATAGCCCTTCTAATTACTTGTTCCAGGTTGTGTATAATCGTGGCCTATAGATTGACTCAAAAAAAAACACAAAAAATTAAGTTTTCGGTCCACTTCATCCCAAAATTATTATCTGATCATCACCGAAAATTATAGGCGCTGGCCTTGACCATAACTGGAACCTCATGGAAAATTTCAAAGCGATCAGCTCTATATTTTCGCCCTCTAGTGTGGTAATGGGTTACTAAATATTAGAGGAATACATTAGCACCTGTAAATATTTAATTGTAACTCCCACATCCGAGTACATACGACAGTATAATTGGTATCAATTTAAAGGTCAATCACTCCTCATGGATATGCTATTAACTTTTGGGGCCTATGTCCTTCAGGGGTCCATCTGACCCGCTAAATATTGACCGATCTTTATCAAAACATGCTTATTTTTTGGCCCGATTTAAAAAATGCACGACTTTAGTAGTCCTTAAAAAAATAGTCTTTAAAAAATGCACGCCTCTAGTAGTCACTGGAAAAATATTTTTTAAAAAATCTACGCCTTTGAAAGGACTTTAAAAAATCTACGCCTTTGAAAGGACTTTAAAAAATCTACGCCTTTGAAAGGACTTTAAAAAATCTACGCCTTTGAAAGGACTTTAAAAAATCTACGCCTTTGAAAGGACTTTAAAAAATCTACGCCTTTGAAAGGACTTTAAAAAATCTACGCCTTTGAAAGGACTTTAAAAAATCTACGCCTTTGAAAGGACTTTAAAAAATCTACGCCTTTGAAAGGACTTTAAAAAATCTACGCCTTTGAAAGGACTTTAAAAAATCTACGCCTTTGAAAGGACTTTAAAAAATCTACGCCTTTGAAAGGACTTTAAAAAATCTACGCCTTTGAAAGGACTTTAAAAAATCTACGCCTTTGAAAGGACTTTAAAAAATCTACGCCTTTGAAAGGACTTTAAAAAATCTACGCCTTTGAAAGGACTTTAAAAAATCTACGCCTTTGAAAGGACTTTAAAAAATCTACGCCTTTGAAAGGACTTTAAAAAATCTACGCCTTTGAAAGGACTTTAAAAAATCTACGCCTTTGAAAGGACTTTAAAAAATCTACGCCTTTGAAAGGACTTTAAAAAATCTACGCCTTTGAAAGGACTTTAAAAAATCTACGCCTTTGAAAGGACTTTAAAAAATCTACGCCTTTGAAAGGACTTTAAAAAATCTACGCCTTTGAAAGGACTTTAAAAAATCTACGCCTTTGAAAGGACTTTAAAAAATCTACGCCTTTGAAAGGACTTTAAAAAATCTACGCCTTTGAAAGGACTTTAAAAAATCTACGCCTCTAGTAGTCCCTGGAAAAATATTCTTTAAAAAATCTACGCCTCTAGTAGTCCCTGGAAAAATATTCTTTAAAAAATCTACGCCTTTGAAAGGGCTTTACAAAATCTACGCCTTTGAAAGGGCTTTACAAAATCTACGCCTTTGAAAGGGCTTTACAAAATCTACGCCTTTGAAAGGGCTTTACAAAATCTACGCCTTTGAAAGGGCTTTACAAAATCTACGCCTTTGAAAGGGCTTTACAAAATCTACGCCTTTGAAAGGACTTTACAAAATCTACGCCTTTGAAAGGGCTTTACAAAATCTACGCCTTTGAAAGGGCTTTACAAAATCTACGCCTTTGAATGGGTTTTACAAAATCTACGCCTTTGAAAGGGCTTTACAAAATCTACGCCTTTGAAAGGATTTTAAAAAATCTACGCCTTTGAAAGGGCTTTACAAAATCTACGCCTTTGAAAGGGCTTTACAAAATCTACGCCTTTGAAAGGGCTTTACAAAATCTACGCCTTTGAAAGGGCTTTACAAAATCTACGCCTTTGAAAGGGCTTTACAAAATCTACGCCTTTGAAAGGGCTTTACAAAATCTACGCCTTTGAAAGGGCTTTACAAAATCTACGCCTTTGAAAGGACTTTACAAAATCTACGCCTTTGAAAGGGCTTTACAAAATCTACGCCTTTGAAAGGACTTTACAAAATCTACGCCTTTGAAAGGGCTTTACAAAATCTACGCCTTTGAAAGGGCTTTACAAAATCTACGCCTTTGAAAGGGTTTTACAAAATCTACGCCTTTGAAAGGGCTTTACAAAATCTACGCCTTTGAAAGGATTTTAAAAAATCTACGCCTTTGAAAGGACTTTAAAAAATCGACGCTTTTGAAAGGATTTTAAAAAATCTACGCCTTTGAAAGGACTTTAAAAAATCTACGCCTTTGAAAGGACTTTAAAAAATCTACGCCTTTGAAAGGACTTTAAAAAATCTACGCCTTTGAAAGGACTTTAAAAAATCTACGCCTTTGAAAGGACTTTAAAAAATCTACGCTTTTGAAAGGACTTTAAAAAATCTACGCCTTTTAGGGATCACTAAATCCACGCCTTTAATAGTCAATCAAGAAATATTCTTTAAAAAATCCACGCCTCAAGTAGTCCTTGAAGAAATATTCTTTAAAAAATCCACGCCTCAAGTAGTCCTTGAAGAAATATTCTTTAAAAAATCCACGCCTCTAATAGCCCTGAAAAAAATGTTCTTTAAGGGGACCCCCCCATTCTCGGGGTCAAAATTTTTTTTGATTTAATTCGATTCTACACTAATTCAAGAATGTCTCTACAAAATTTCAAGTGAAAATCTCAAGAACTCTTGAAGATATAGCCGATTTATTGTGTCAGCATCAAGTGACGGCTAAAGGGCTTCTCAAACTTACACCGCGTTTTTCTCTTTTGCGAATGGCGGGCACGATAACTCAAAAACTAATAACCCAATCGATTCCAAATTTTTACACGTTTCTCTGTGAGTGTATGGCTATCGTATGAACTAGGATAAAGCCAATCGGTGAAGATCTTCCTTATTTTTTAACTTGGTTTTTGGTCAAAAATCGGCGATTTTCCAAAAATATTTTTTCAAAGGTCCGCCATTTTGTTAATTTTAGAGCGAAGTCAATAATCCTAGTTCATACGAGAGAACACCGTTGGAATTTTCGGATTCCGATGTTCCAGTGAGGAGTTATCATCCCCGCCATCAAAAATAAGGACTTTTCTTTAATTACAAAAAACAACAACAAAGCAATAACAAAAATGTTTCGTAAATTATTTTTCTTCTCTTTTAAATCTTCAAATATATGTGTGCAAAGTTACAAACCTTAACAAGCATTGGTATTGATTTACCAGCCCATTGAAAATCTTGAAAAATTAAAATCGAGAATGGGTGGGGTTCCCTTAAATATATGCCTGTATACCTCTCTATTTTTTTTTAATTAATGGCCCTTGAAAAAATATTCCTTAAAAATCTACGCCTGTATAACCTCACTATTGAGATTGGCTTTGAAAAAAAAATATTTAAATTCAGTATTAATATTTTTCTTAAGCTGTAGCACTGTGTATAATTAGCATAAATAAATAAAATCAATTCGAAATTAATTTTCAACTCTAAAAATAAAAATTGGAAAACAAAATTAGAACTCAAACGAAAAAAAAAAATGAAAAAAAGAAAAAAACTTACGCCAACAATTATTAATATTATTGTTGTTATTATTATTATTGTAATCATTATTTTTATTGTTGTAAAATATGTGATTGTTGCTGTTGTAGTTTATAGTAGTGGAAGAAGAAGAAGATGTTGTAAAATTTGTGATGGAGATCGATTTATCAATTGACGCATCTGGTTGGGGAATATTTGAAGGACATTTTGGAAAATTTTGGTTGGCGGCAGCCACTTCCCGATTCGAA